AGTTGTAAAAAATACTTGTTTAAAAATTGAATTATTCTTCAATTTTTTAAATAAATAATTATTTAATACTTCTTATGTTTTTTTAAAAAAAAACCCTGAAAAAAGACAGTTTTTTCCTAATTTTGAAATTTACCAATTTAAAATTTGTGAAACGTAATATTTAAAAATTGAATTAGTTTTCAATTTTTTAAATCAATAATTATTCTTTTTTATTAAAAAAACACATATAAATTGCATTTTTCAAATTACTTATCTCAATGTTGTAAAAAATAATGGCTAAAAAGCAGATTATTCTTCAATTTTTTAAATAAATAATTATTGTTTTTCATATAATTTTTTCAAAAAGTACATATAAAAAAGCAATTTTTTGACAATTTTTTAAATTGCTATTCTCAATACCTATTGTAAAAAAAAGAGATTAAATTTCAAATTGTATTTCAATTTTTCAAATAATTAATTATTGTTTTTTATCTTTTTTTCAAAGGAGAACATATAAAATAGCATGTTTTTTAGAATTTTTAAAATTACTCATCTCAATGTTGTACAAAAGGTTGAAAATCCAATTATTTTCAAATTTTTTAAATAAATAATTATTGTTTTTTTATGTACTTTTTTTAAAAAGCACATATAAAAAAGAAATTTTTTGAGAATTTTTTAAATTACTCATCTCAATGTTGTAAAAAAGGTTGAAAATTCAATCATTTTTCAATTTTTTAAATAAAAAACAATAATTATTTAGTTGAAAAATTGAAAAATAAATTGGTTTTTTGGCCTTTATTTTTTACAAAATTGAGATGAATAATTTAGAAAGCTGTTAAAATAATCCTTTTTTATATGTGCTTTTTGAAAAAAGTAAATAAACAACAATTTATTGTTCAATTAGTAATAAACAATTTTAAATATTATTTATAATAAAATTAATTTAAATATTTGATAAATTACATAAGAATTTTCCAATTTTTATCCTGGTCTTTCCAAAAATGGCCTACATATAAGCAATTCGTGTATTTTTCCTTACTTGTGACAACCAACTTAAACATTGTTTATAAAAAACGTTTTAAACGTAAAATTTGGAATTTTCCGATAACAGACAGAGTCTATATTATTCTGAACATTTTCCAAAAGGTTTTTTTAAAAAATATTCAAAATTGTGCTTTTCACATACCTGAGAAGTTTGCGTGTCATGCGCCATGATTTGTGACGTCACGAAGGTTCAAATGCTTCTAAAATAAGCTGCAACGCTTATTATTTTAATCCATTTTTGCTTATTTTAATCCATTTTGGTATTAAAATTAGCAAAATTGGATTAAAATAATAAGCGTTGCAGCTTATTTTAATACCTTATAATTTTCTGTGTTCTTAATTTAAGATTATTTTGCTTATTATTTACTTTGCTGTCATATTTATAGTTTTATTATAATTAATTACACAGAAAATTAAAAGGCATTAAAATAAGCTGCAACGCTTATTATTTTAATCTAATTTTGCTTATTTTAATCCATTTTGGTATTAAAATAAGCAAAATTGGATTAAAATAATAAGCGTTGCAGCTTATTTTAATGCCTTCTAATTTTCTGTGTATTAATAATCATAAAAATTGGAAAAGTTCACGACATTCCAATATATAAAGTAGAATTTGACAATTTCAATTTGGCTAAATTTTTTTATCGTTTAGTACTCTACCAACAGGGTAAAATTATTTTTTTTCAAATTTTTCAATGAAGCTGTTTAAGAGATATGAATTTTTTAAAATTTCAGTATTTTAACGATTTTTTAATGAATCTTTCTTAAAAATGTATCAATTTAAAAATTCTTTTTTTTAAATTGTGTATTTTTACGTTAACTTTTTGAAAATTCAATGTAAAAATTGCAGAAAAATAATTTACTATATTTTTTCAATTTAAACATTGGTTTTTTTAAATTTTAGTAACATTCGATTTTTTTATTAATTTTCAAAAAAATGGTTCTTTTTTAAAAAAATTTTAAACTGGGTCCGATCGTGGAGAAAACGATTTTTTTTAATCTTATCGGAGTTTTCAAAATTTTTTGAAATTTCAAATTTTGAAATACCTCTGGTTTTTTTTAATACTACATAAATTTTGATGCGCTGCTTACAAAAATTATAGTGAAAATACCAGAAAATTTCATATTTATGCTCTCTAAATTTGAATCAGCGATAAGTATACCACTGGTACCAATCAGCGGATATACGCTGAAAAATCAGTGAAATTCCACTAATTCATCAGTGCATATAAGCTGATTAGAATCAGTGGTATACTTATAGCTGAGAATCAGCGAGATTCCGCTGATTCAAATTTAGAGAGTGGTGAAAACTATAAAAAAAGATTTAAAATTTATGTTTTTTTGCGTTTTTCTTTTAGGTAGAAGTTTTTTTTTTAATTTTTATTTTTACCTAGAAAAAACGATAAATATAAAAAAATATATATAAAAAACCGAAGGTCCTATTTTAAAATTTGAAATTTCGAAAATTTAAAAAAATTCCAAAAGTACACTCTAAATCTGAATCAGTGAAAATTTCACTGAATTCAAATCAGTGGCTCAGTTTTCTTTAATTCACCAGTGGAATTTCACTGAGAATCAGTGGTTTTTACTGATTCCCAGTGAAATTCCACTGGTGAATTAAAGAAAAAAAATTTAATTTAATTTAAATAAATTAAAAAATAATCGTTACCTTTACGAAAATTTTTGTAAAAGAAAGTAAAAGAAAATTTTCAAAAAATATTTAAAAGATACGAACTGTTCTAAAAATATAATTTTTGTAAAAAAACCAGTATTTTTTTTTCATTTTTTCAAAAAAAATTCGAATGTTACAAACACTTTAAAAAAAAAGTTATTGTTTAAGTTGCAAAAAATATAGTAAACTATTTTTTTCGAATTTTCAAAAGTTTACGAAAAAACACGAATTTTCACTAATTTATCAGTGCAAATACGCTGATTGGAATCAGTGGTATACTTATAGCTGAGAATCAGCGAAATTTCGCTGATTCAAATTTAGAGAGTAAATTAGTATAGAAAACTACTAATTAACAGTAAAACGGTGAATGAATCGGCCGGTCATTTTTGACTGAAAATTAATCATTTCTGTTACTAATTCATTTAATAAACGAATCGGTGCTGTTTAATTAGTCAAAAGTGACTAATTCACTCTCTAAATTTTGAATCAGCGGAATCTCGCTGATTCTCAGCTATAAGTATACCACTGATTCTAATCAGCTTATATGCACTGATGAATTAGTGGAATTTCACTGATTTTTCAGCGTATATCCGCTGATTGGCACCAGTGGTATACTTATCGCTGATTCAAATTTAGAGAGCAGATTTAGAGAGGAAATTGATACATTTTTAAGGAAGTTATGACGATTCAAAAATAAAAAATAATTGAATTTCTGAAATTAAAAAAATTCAAGTCTCGTAATTAAAAAATTTTGAAAAAAAATCATAAAACCCTGTTTGATAGTGTAATAAATAATAAAAAAAAATTTATTCAAATCAAAAGTGTAAATGTCAACAATATGTTAAAATAGCGTGGACCAAAAAAAAAAAAATTTTATTTTTTTAAAACAATTTAGTTATTTTCATATTGTTATTAAAAATTGTTTGAAATGAAAAATCAGTGTGATTCTTCAAAAATATTATAATAAAATTATATATGCAATAAATAAAAGCATAAAAATTTGTGTTATTGTACAATTTAAAAGTCTCGACCAAAGAAAATTGAATTTTCAGCAAGGCCACAATTTGGAACTATTCATCTCAAAATAAGCACAAAGCAGAGGAATTTTACATACATAAAAAAATATATATACGTGTGTGTGTGTGTATTCACCACCTATATATATATATAAAATTCCCATACGTAAATACAACCTGTTTGTTAAGTCAAAATATTGCATTTGAATTCAAATGTATAAACCTGAAAATAGCATTGTGTGTGGTAACGTCAAAGCAGGATGACGACCTCACAGAGGTCTCAAACGACCGACCAGCTTTCAAGTTTTATTGCATCGTCGTCGTTGCACTCAAATCCAGAACACAGCTTCAAAACTCGTAATTCCCTGTTTGCTAATCAAATCGTTCCCTAACTGAAAAGATAACAATACAGTACATTTGTTTTAACAATTTTATTCCCCCCACTCTATTCACTTTTTATGCGAGTTTATAAACTCGTAAAAATTATTTCATTTATTTAGTAAACATAAAAGTGAAAATAAAATTTTATTTTACAATGCTAAAAAAAATTTTTCTAAATTCATTTACACAGTAGAATATATAGTCTAAAATTCTTATATAACTTTAGTTTCTATAAATAATTATTTATAATTTTACTCACGGAAAAAAAGTTTACCTGGGAACAAGAAAAGGTTTCACTAGAATAGTGAAATATTTAACTACAATAATTACATTGCTATTCCAGTGTCAGTGTAACCTTTTTACTGTTCCAGATTAAGTTTTTTTTACCGGGAAGGAATAAAATATTTGTAAAAATATTCTTAAAATAAAAAATTACTTTCTATTTTAAGAATATATTATATATTTTAACTCATAAAACTAAAATATATTCTTAAATAGAAGCAAAGACTATGTGACTTTTAGAATAATATTTTTTCGATATTGAATAAATTAAATTCATTTTTATTTCAAAAATTAAAAGCTATTGGCAATTTAAAATTTCATTATCTTAATTGGAAAAAAATTTTTTTTTCATTCAATGAATATTATTTAATAATTATATAGCTATATTTAATATCCATCTGGATTCTGGTTATAAATTATTATCGTCTGTAAAATGTTAGCTCAATAGATAATAAAAAATTTTTTTATTCATATCAGATAAAATCTTTCTGCTTTGTGCTTACAATTTAAAAAGAGAAATTTTTATAAACTAAAAATATAGAAAAAAATTTCTCGTTATTTTCTATAATATAAATTTGTATTACAAAAAAAATATAATTTTTTTTTTTTGAAATCCATTTTCACAGTGATCTGCGCTCAAGGATTAATTGCCAAGGACAAGAGTGGAACATCCGATCCTTATGTCACAGTTCAAGTGGGAAAAGTAAAGAAAAGAACGAAAACCATGCCACAAGAATTGAATCCCGTTTGGAACGAGAAATTTTACTTGTAAGTTTATTTTCTCTTTTTTATTCGATTCGAATTTAAAAAAAAAATCTAATTTCACAAAAAAGTAAAATACAAAATGTGGTAATAAAAAACTAATAATAAAAGACGTATAAATTTCCCATAAAAATTATTAATTAAAATTTTTATTTTTAAGTATTTTATTAGAAATAATTATTTTTTCGACAAATTTTCAATATTCGAATTAAAATTTGACAAAATTTCTTTTTATACGAATTTTTACTTAACAAAATTTTTAGCTACCGAATTTTTGTTTGGTAGAAGTTTGCAGAATTTTTAAGACGTCGAATTCTCATTTATTCGAAATTACAAATGTCCGAACAAACAATCGACAGAAAGATTTCGGCACCATTTTTAAAATTGATCAATCACGATTTTTTTGATAATTTATAATATTGGTCAATTTTAAAAATTGCGCCAAAATCTTTGTGACGATTGTTTGTTCGGTTATTTGTAATTTCGGACAAATGAAAATTTGGCGTCTTAAAAATTAGTACAAATAAAAAAAAATCAATTGTAAAATTAAATTTTTTATTTTTATTATTTTTATTTTCATTGACAATTGAAAAAATTGTTTTCAACTGACTATAAAAAATTACTTTCAGTACTAACACGAAATTTTGACTACAACTGAAACTGTACTTATTTATTATTACTTTTATATATAATATATTTATTATAAAATTAATATTTTCTTTATTTTCACTGACATTGAATAAAATTATTTGCCACTAGAAAAAAAAATGTAAATCATTCTATTTGCTCCGTAGTATTTAAAAAAAGACTGCTTTTTGTAACGATTTTTCTGTACGAAATGGAAATTTTTGTAATGAAATGAATCGTAAAATATTTGAAGAGAATGTGCTTTCGAGCATTCCTACAATATTCTGAATCATCCATCAAACTGTAAAATCTCTTTATGACTATACTAAACCCTAAAAATTTGCCCATTTCTTATATTCCCTTACACGTTTCATATTCACCTCCATTTACATTCTGAAACATCGACAAAAAAAATATATTCTGCAATTAAAAATAATGGCTAACTATATTTTTTTTCGTATTTCAAATTTATTGAAAGTTATTTTTATAATTTAAAATTACTCTTAAGGAACAATGAGACAAAGAATTGGAACAAAAGTTACTCCAATTGTGTATTTTTTTTAAAAAAAAGATGATTTAAATTGTAAAAAAGCTTCGTTGAAATGTTAAATAATTTAATTTTTGGAATCTTTAATAATTAGAAATTACATTAAAATCAAAATTAAAAGTTTTTATCCATAGGAAACGATTTTGGTAACATAACTTAAAAAATAATATTTAGGTTATGTTACCAAAAAGCGTTTCCTACACTGTAAAAAAAAATAGGGAGTTAACGTTACTGGGAGTTGGGAGTTAAAATTTTCGAGTTAAAAATCAACTCAAAAAGGGAGTTAATAATTAAATTAACTCCTTAAAACCAACTCCCTAGGCATAAAATTAACCCGTATAGCATTAACTCCCTTCGCTTCAACTCCAAAAGGATGGGACTTTTATAGCATCTCCTAGGGAGTTGAAATTCAACTCCATTTTTTACAGTGTATGCCTAAAAACTTTTAATTTTGATTTAAATGCAATTTCTAATTGTTCAGAATTTTTAAAATTAAATTATTTAAAATTTCACCGAAGCTTTTTAAAAATTCAAAACTGTAATCAAAATTTTCGTTTGATTAAAAAAAGGGGGAAAATAAAACCCAAATAATTATTTTTTTTTACACAGCGAGTGCCATAATTCGTCAGATCGAATAAAAGTTCGAGTGTGGGACGAGGACAATGACCTGAAGTCGAAATTGAGGCAAAAGCTAACGAGGGAAAGTGACGATTTCCTGGGTCAAACGATCATCGAAGTACGAACATTGAGCGGTGAAATGGACGTGTGGTATAATTTGGAAAAAAGAACTGACAAAAGTGCAGTCTCAGGTGCAATCAGACTTCACATCAGTGTGGAAATCAAGGGCGAAGAAAAAGTGGCACCTTATCATGTTCAATATACGTGTCTTCATGAGAATCTCTTTCACAGTCTTTGCGAGGGTAACAGTGGAATGGTCACATTACCCCAGGCACGGGGCGATGACGCATGGAAAGTGTATTTTGATCCGCCTGGCGAAGAGCTTGTCGATGAATTTGCTATGCGTTATGGAATTGAAAGCATTTATCAAGCAATGACGTGAGTTTTATTTATTTTCAATATTTTTCATATTTTTTAAATATTTTATTATAGCACAAAAATTTATTACAAAATTTTTTTATTTTTTTTTTGATACTAATTTGCAAAAATTTATTCTAAATTTTAAGATTTTTCCAAGGGGGAATTTACTCGCAGTGTTGCCAGGTCCCTATGGTGCTTTTCCCTAGATCGCTAGATATTTTTCACTAAAATTTTTTCCCCTAATTTTCACTAGAATAATAAATAAATAAAAAAACGTAAAAATCTTTATCTCAACACAAAATTTTCATTTTTTCACACTAATTATACAAAAGTTATTTAAACTTAAAGAATCGTTTAATAAAATTTAATAGTTCAATGTAATGAATATATTATTATGATTAGGGTCAGTTGGGATAAATGGGGACAAAATCCCTATTTTTCACAAATTATGTAAGTTTCTTCCATTAAAAGGTATAATATTTGTGGTTGTTTTAAAGTTGATTTTTACATTCCCAGGATTTACCCCAATGATTTAGAAAATTTTATAAAATTTGAGGTTAATAGGGACAGCTTGTTATTATTAACCAAATTGACAAAAATAAAAAATTTAATTGAATTTCTGTTATGGAAATCATAAGGAATAAGAAAAAATTTGTTTATGATTTTTAAGTCTGTTTTCTTTGAAATGCAAGACAAAATACTGAAACAGTTTGACTTTGATTTTCAAGTTTTTATGCATTGAGCGATAACTTGAATTATCTTGCTGCCAATTGTTAAGATAAAAGCTTGACAATACTCAGAACCTTTTGTAGGTAATCTGAGGTTAAAATATTGTCGTTGAAATTAATTTTAAAACTCTAAATTAAGCTCCAACACATCTTGTCTTAATTTCCTCCAACTGACCGTATAGACATTTTTTTGGAATTTAATTTGTTTAAATATTATAATTCCAAATAAAATAGATGAGCTTAAGAACATGGAATAAACATTAAATTATAAAAAAAACAGAAACAAAACATAACCTTTAAATTCTTCTTTACTTTCCCAAGAGATTTTATATCTTTGTACATATTTTTTTGAATTTGGCGTAGGTGGTATTTTTATTTTTTCTTTTATCAGAATTCAGTAAAAATTGTTTTAAATTTAATATTCTCAAATATATTTAAAAATTCTAATTGACAAAAATTATTTTACGAATAAACTATACTAAACAGCAGTGCAAGGCTCGGCACGTAGAAAAGCATTCTTTCTTATACAACTGCATGACTGAGTTTGATTGGCTGGGTCTGTAAATTCGCTCAATCTCCATCAGTATAGCCAATCAAATTCAGTTTAATCAGGAGCGCAGCCAGAAATAAATTTCGAAAGGGATTTTGTGAAGGCTCAGTCCTTAAAAATCTTAAACTTATATTAAAAAGCATAACTATATGACAAAATTTCAGTGGGGGTTTTGAGGGTTAAAATCCCCACTGAAATTTTCTCATAGTTATGCTGGCTACGCCCCTGAGTTGAATAGTTCATACTTAGAGTGCCCGTACGCCGTACTTTTACTCAAATACAATTTACGTATAGGAAAAATGACATATAGGTGAAAACACTAAAAAAAATCCACTAAAGAAGAAAAAAGATACTAAATTTCCTACTAAAATATTTCTCCCACTAAAAATGTTACTAACTTGGCAACACTGTGTTATATGGTTTGTTACCTGAAATGAAGGCTAAATAGTCGAAACATGTAGTAACATTGTATCAATAAACGAACATCTTAACTGTCAAAGGCCTCGAAACGTTATTATCAAATTTAAAACACAGTTGAAAAAATTTAACAAAATACCTTTTATTTTTGGTGCGAATTTGTAATAGTTTGATAATAATTGAAATAAAATAAATTTTTAAAGGCACTTCCACTGTCTGTCAACAAAGTACCTTTGCCCGGGAGTCCCGGCAGTGATGTCAACTCTCTTAGCAAACATTAATGCCTACTATGCTCATACAACAGCAAGTTCTGCCGTCTCAGCCAGTGATAGATTTGCCGCCAGTAACTTTGGGGTGAGTTTATATACATATATAGACAGAATATGGTCAAAGCATTTGCGCAAGAGTCAGTTGAAACTGAGAAATGTTTCTGCAATTTCCTGCGAAAGCCAGATCCATTCGTTATTCGAATCCCAAATGGTTCAACTTCGTTGCACAATATCTAACAAACCTTTAGAAGATACACTTCACTCACATTTCCAAAACATCAATTTCTTTTTCTCTCTGGCAATATATTTACATTAAGTTACCATATGAAACGATATCAAAAGTCCACAAAATTTTTCAAAAAAAAAAGAGAAAAAATGAAACTGTTAGATTTTTTGAAAAATTGTTAGATTGTTATTTTTTACATTCGATGTTTTTCCCTTTTTTATTTATAGGTAATTTTTCTTTGTTTTTTTTTACCTTGAATTTTTCTGTTATTTTGAAAAATTACAAATAATTAAAATAATTAAAGTAAAAGCAACGATTGTAAAAATAACAAAATGTTTTGTTCAATCTAACATTTTTTTTTTGAAAAATTTTGCGTAGTTCTGATACCGACTCCTATATATATATATATATATATATATAAATAACGTCATCCAGAAACTCGTATTGCACTCGTCAATGTCATATCATTTTCACACATTTTTTACAATTTTAGTATACAATAAATCTTACACTACATTTGTATTTTTCTCCATTTGTCCCTTTTTTTTGACGGGATATCTATTTCATACAGTATACAATTTTTGTTCATCTAAAGATCTTTTTATTGAATATTTTTATATTTTATTTTTTAAATTTAATTTTTTCAGTTTTTGCTTTAAAAATAACAGCCTACTATTTTTGCCTAATAATTAAAATTGCATTATTCTATTGTCATAAATTTGAATTAATCTCATTTATTGATTTTATTTTGTAAAACACTTTAAAAAATTTATAATTCCCAGTGTCTAATCAATGTTTTATTACTGAGACTTTAATAACTATATATTTGACCAGCGTGTTATAAAATCACTCTCTTCAATATAATCCTGATTAAGTTATAGGTATAAAAAGGATCGATATAAAATTATATAGTTGAGAATAAAATGCATAAAAGATGACTTAGGTCCATAATCTTCATGTTACACGCAAGATCAGAAATTCCTATAGAGTATAAATTTTCTTCATTGTACATTATTAAGCTCAAACTTTGTTATTAATTTTTTATATATTGTCATGAATCGATTTAATTATTACTAATTAGAATATTGATTATTTATATCACGTGTGGTATAAGTTCATTTAAATATTAGGTAAGCGTAAAAAGAACTTTATGACAATAAAAACAATTATTCCGGACACATCGGAGATGAAATTATCTTCTAGGCATTTTTAAAATGACTGCAATTGACTTTTACTTCTTAAATTAAAATTACAGTAATAAAAAGTACTGATATATCAGTAGTAAAAGTCAATATTACTACTATAAATCGCATTTCTTCGTGTATTGTCTGACTGAACTTAGCTTTCACTACTTACACTTTACTCACAAGACTTAAAACCTATATGTCTGACTAAACCCTATTTTTACCACTAAAATCACAGTTACAAGAATCGGGCTCATGATTATCCCATAAAAATCATTAATTAGAATTTTCATTTTAAAGAAGAATTACACGCATAGAAAAAGTTTGCTATGGCAGCGAACTATTTGCTGCCACATCAAATTAAGTTAGCTAATATAGGGACAGCGAACAAATTTGCTGTGGGGTAAAAAAGTTTGCTGTGAAAGTAAATTTTTAAAAATTAAGACGTTTATTATAGCAAACTTTTTTGTTGTCCTGGCAAAAAATTTAGCAGTTGTTACTAATTTCGATAGATCCGATAGCAAACATTAGTTACCTTCTGTAAGCAATTCACAAATTTTTTTGTGTAGAAATACACAGAAAATTAAAAGGCATTAAAATAATCTGCAACGCTTCTTATTTTAATCCAATTTTGCTTATTTTAATACCAAAATGGATTAAAATAAGCAAAATTGGATTAAAATAAGAAGCTTTGCAGCTTATTTTAATGCCTTTTAATTTTCTGTGTAATTATTTTTTAGTTGAATTTTCAATTTTCAAATTAAAAATTTCCAGATTTTCTTTTTATATAAATTTTTACATAACAACATTTTAAGCAACCGAATTTTTGTTTGTCAGAATTTTTATTTTACTGTCATTTTCTTTACATGACATTTTATTTAAAAGAATTTAAATTTAATCGAATTTTAATTTAACAGAATTATCATTCAATCGAATTTTATGTGATTCAAATTTTTAAATGACAGAAAATGGCCGAAGAAATAATCAACAGAAAAATTTCGGCGCGATTTTTAAAATCCACCAATCAAGATTTTTTTTATTGATAATTTCTAATTGGTCAATTTTAAAAATAGCACCGAAATCTTTCAGTCGATTGTTTGTTTGGCCATTTGTAATTTCGGACAAATGAAAATTCGTTGAATTGAAATTTGTCATTTAAAAATTTGAATCACCTGAAATTCGATTAAATGACAAAAATAAAATTTTATGTAAAAAATAATTATTTCTAACAAAATTTTTTAAAATGTAAATAGTAATTAATGACTTTTATGGGATAATAGCGTGCCCCACTTTAAAACGGTGACACGGAGAAAATAGAAAAATGAATAAAGTAACCTACTATTTTAAAAGTAAAATCAAAACTGTCCATAGTTTCTGCGCATTTCTGTCAATTTTTACTCCAGAAATAGTAAAATTTACTCCTGAAATAGTAAAAATTATTCCGAAAATAATAAATTTTACTATTTCTGAAGTAAAAATTGCCAGAAATGCGTAGAAACTGCGGACAGTTTAAATTAAAGTTAAACGTTAAAGTTTGAATCAAGATTTTTTGTTTGTTTGTTTGAAATTAATGTTTATTAGAGTTTTGTTTGCGTTAGAAACCATATTTCAGTTTTGAGGTTATGTTTGGGTCTCCACTCTCCTTAAAACAAAAATTTGTTAGAAAAAATTATTTTCCGAAGGGAAAATAAATATTATTTTTTAATCGTTGATCATAAACATATTATGAACTTCATTGTCGTAATAAAAAATTGAATTCACTTATTTAATTCTGGAGAACTTGACTAATTTAAATTTTAACAAATTTGCAAAATTAACAGAAGATAGATGATTAAACGTTAAATACATATATATACCTATATATGTATAAATTCTCGAGAAATAGAAAGTAAAATATGACTCGCTTTTAAAAGATCTTTCTATTCGTCCTCTCTCATTTGCAAGTAGAAAGATAGTAGTCTTTCATTTTACAATATTATCCCCTTTCATTACTCACCAAGCTGCTAGTTCATTTGCATTTTATAATATTGAAAGTAGCACTGCGAAATTAAAACATTAATTTTACTCTTCTATATTTATAATATAAAATTTATAATAGGTTTATGTATATATATACATAAACCTATTATAAATTTTATATTTGAGATAACACACGTTGCTGATCTTTATCCACTTATTTCCAATCTATAGTATCTTATACGTGAACTAATAATATTAAAATTTAACGATAGAGACTTTAGCATTTTTTTTTTTTTTTATTCAGAAAAATATACTATATGTTCGTGGATGGAAATACTATCGTCTCTGAAATCGTGCGAGTGGTTCATGAATTATTGAATTCGGTCTGTGGAATTTGAAAGTTTTCAAAAGTATAACGAGATATCGGCTACAATATTGATATTTATTCATATAATAAATATTCTTCGACGAAAAACCATTTATTATTTCGTTTACATATTTAAATTAAATGTTTTATAGAAATTTCCAAAAATTGTTCTTTTTTCATTAGTGCAAATTAAAATATTTATTGCGATTATAATTGTATAAAATCATGATAACCTTTCTTGTCTTACTGAAAGTAATATAAATATAGTAATAGTGAAAATAAAATTGAGAGTGAAAATTAGAATCATTATAGAAGTATAAGAGAAAATATGAGTAAAAATTAAAATCAGTGGAACCTAAACCTAAACCTAAAAAAACTTTGTTCTTGGCAAGTCCCATAGGAACGGCAGAAAGTTCATTTTTCAAAGTAATTTGGAATTCAAAAAAAAATTTTTTTTAATGTTTCTTTTGCTTTTGGTATTGATAAATATAAGGTTGAAAATTTTAAAGTTTGTTAAATGGGTAAGTAAAAAAGCCTTGTGTCTGGAGAATCACCCATATACTGAAAGTAATTTCACAATTATTCGAAAAAGTTTCACCTGACTCAAACTATTCTGAACAGAAATAAAAAGTTTATACATCTGTATCAAAATCAAAAATAAAATTTTCTAATTTCCTTTTTCTCTTTTCAGAAAGAGAAATTTGTCAAACTACTTGATCAATTGCACACATCATTGAGAATTGATCTTTCAATGTATCGTAACAATTTCCCAGCGTCGAGTCAAGAGAAATTAATGGATTTAAAAAGTTCAGTTGATTTATTAACGAGCATAACATTCTTTAGAATGAAAGTACAAGAACTGACAAGTCCACCACGTGCAAGTACAGTTGTCAAAGATTGTGTTAAAGCATGCCTTCGTTCAACATATGAATTTCTCTATGGAAATTGTTATGAGCTTTATGCTCGTGAATTTCAAGTTGATCCAAGTGAAGCGAAACGTGATCCTGAGGAACGTGGCCCAGGCGTGGAATCTCTCGATTTCTGGCATAAATTAATAGCACTCATTGTATCAGTGATTGAAGAGGATCGTACGAGTTATGCACCGGTACTTAATCAATTCCCACAGGAATTGAATATCGGTCAATTGTCGGCGGCAACTGTCTGGTCATTATTTGCCATGGACATGAAAGGTTCTTTGGATGAACATGAACAAGTGAGAAAATGCAAGTCATCGGCTTACATGAATTTACATTTCAAGGTGAAATGGCTGTATACAAATTATGTTCTCGATGTGCCTCCATATAAAGATGCTGTACCCGAATATCCCGCGTGGTTTGAGCCATTTGTCATGCAATGGCTCAATGAAAATGATGATGTGTCTTTGGAATATCTTTATGGGGCCTTTAACAGAGATAAAAAAGATGGGGTATGACTTTTTAACTCTTATTTTTACATAATGATATTTAAAAATAGTATTCTTTATCACTTACATTAAAATTAGAAGAATTTAAAACTTCATGTGTGAGTTATAATTTTAGGGAAGCATGAATAAGTTCTAAAACTCATAATTTTCATTTCAGAGAATTTTATTTTCTAGACTTCGTTTGAGACAAATTTTTATTTTGTTCGAATTATTATTTTGCAGAATTTTCATTAAACCGATTTTCTATGTTAGAGAATTTTAATATAACTGAAAATTCACTTCACAGAATTTTCATTTGCTCAAATTTTTAATTAGCATAGGGTCAGTTGGGGTAAATGGGAACAATAGGTGTTGCACCTTAACTTACAGTTTTAAAATGAAGTTCAACGTCAATATTTTAACATCAGATCACCTACAAGAGGTCAAACAGTTATCGCTCAATGCATTAAAACTTGAAAATCAAATTCAAACAGTTTCAGTATTTTGTCGAGCATTTCAAAGAAAACAGACTTCAAAATCATACAAAATTTTTGTCCTATTTCTTATGACTCCTATAACATAAATTCATTTGAATTTTTGATTTTTGTCAATTTGGTTATTAATAACAAGCTGTCTCTATTTACCCCAAGAATTTGAAAACTCGGGGTAAATTGGGACAACTTGTTATTATTAACCAAATTGACAAAAATCAAAAATTCAATTGAATTTCTTTTATGGAAATCATAAGGAATAGGAAAAAAGTTTTGTATGATTTTTAAGTCTGCTTTTTTTCAAATGCGAGACAAACTACTGAAATAAAAAATAAATAAATAAAAGACATAAACCAAGCAAATTTAATCAATTCATAAGAAAATTTTGAAGTTTGTCCGCCATATTAGAAATTTTTTTCAAGTTTTTTCATCCCTTAATACAGTAATATATTTAAGGAAACTTTTTTCTTAAACCTTTCTTAGAAACTATGCTGTCCCCATTTACCCCAAATTTTATGAAATTTTCTAAATCTTGGGGTAAATGGAGACAGTCAGTTTCATGCGTTTAAAGCTTATCTAAATTTTTTTCTGCTGCACAAAAAAAATCCTGGGAATGTAAATAACAACTTAAAAAAAAGAACCCGCAAAAATTACCTTTTAAAGGAAGAAACTTACGTAAATTGTGAAAAATAGGGATTTTGTCCCCATTTACCCCAACTGACCCTAATAATCATTTTAATGAATTTTATTGGGTAAAATTGTGGCGTATGAATATCCCATAAAAATCATTAGCTAGAACTTTCATTTGTAAGAATTTTATTTGACAGAATTTCTTTTTAGACGAATTTTCATTTTTCGAATTAGCATTTAAGTTACTTTCTTTGAAAACGAAATTTCATTTAACATAATTTTTAGCTACCGAATTTTTATTTGAAATAATTTTTATTTTATACAATTTTCTTTTTATCCACTTTTAATTTAAAAGTATTATAATTTTACTCAATTTTAATTCATCAGAATTCTTATTCAACAGAATTTTAGTTATTCGATTTGTTCAATGTCAGAATTTTTTAATTTACAAATGTCCGAACAAACAAACGTCAGAAAGATTTAAGCGCAGTTTTTAAAATAGACCAATCAGAAATTTTTAAGAAATTTGTGATTGATTTATTTTTAAATTAACGCCGAAATCTTTCTGACGCTTGCTTCTTCAGACATTTGTAATTTCTATCAAATGGAAATTCGCTGTTTGAGGAATTCTATCAAATAAAAATTCGTGTAAATAAAAATTCTGGCACATAGGAGATTCGATAGTTTAAAAATTCTGACATTATACAATTCAAATAACTAAAATTCTGCTGAATGAGAATTTTGATAAATTAAAATTGGTTTAAATAGTAATTCTTTAAAATAAAAGTTAGATAACATAAAATTTGTTAAAATAAAAATAATATTAAATAAAAATTTGGTACCTAAAAACTATGTTAATTAAAATTTCGTTTAGAAAGAAAGTAATTCAAATGCTAATTCGAAAAATGAAAATTCGTCTAAATAGAAATTCTATCAAATGAAATTCAACAAATGAAAATTCTAGCTAATGATTTTTATGGGATATTCCAATTATTACTTAATAGAATTTTCATATATAATCAATTTCATTACTTAGAGTTTTGATTTGAAAGAAATTTATTAGATTTAATTATTTTTTAGATGAATTTTCATTTTTCGTATTAGCATTTGACACAATTTCTCTTTCAACGCCGAAGTTTTACTTGTCCGAAATTGCAAATGGCCCGAACAAACAATCAACAGAAAAGTTTCGGCTCGTTTTTTTTAAATTGATCAATCAAAAATTGTTTGTTCGGCCATTTGCAATTTTGAATAAATAAAAATTCGTCGTTTTAAGTATTCTATATCTAATAAAATTCTTTCAAATCAAAATTCTAATCAATTATTTTTATGGGATAATCATGCGCCCCCATTTAACATTATTTCTAATTGATAGAATTTTTATTTGTACAAAATTGCAAATGACCGAACAAATAATCGATAGAAAGATTTCGGCGCAATTTTTAAAATCAACCAATTACAATTTTATGGATAATTTTTAATTTTGGTTGATTTTAAAAATCGCTCCAAAATCTTTCTGTCGATTGTTTGTTTGGACATTTGTAATTTCGGACAAATAAAAATTATATCAATTAGAAATTCTGTTAAATGATTTTTAAGTTAAATATAAATTCTGTAATATAGAAAATCAGTTTAACGGCATGTGGGAAACTTCCACGTGACCTAGTATGGGAAAATATGTTTTGCAATATTTCAACTTTCTCTAAAATGAAAAAAGATTTTAGGCTAAAATTTTGAGGATTGATAGATTTGGGTACAATGCACCGCGCTGTTCTCCTGAAAAAACTTAATTTTGCGTTAAATTATTTAAAAACTAAGTTTAAAAAGTTTAATTTTTAAACGAAAAAGACAACAAATATGGCGGCGTATACACAGACGTTGCTTGAGTGTGTCAGTACTCCACCGAACAGCGCCAATTCGAGCAAGTGGCCGCTGAATGAACTATGATATAATACATTATTTTACTATTTATTGCTTTATTTTTATTATTTTTGGGTCAAATTATGGTAAATGAGTAGAATCTGAAATCATTTTTTATTTCAGAGAAAGTTTCAACCCAAAAAAAACGTTCTTTGCCCACATAGCTTTAATGAAAATTCTGCAAAATAATAATTCAAACAAATTCGACTGAATGAAAATTATATCAAATAAAATTCTATTAAATGAAAATTTTACGTATTTATTTAATTTGCAAATGCTAATTTGTAAATAAAAAAATTATAAATTATAAAAAAAGTAATGTTAATATAAATTTTGTTTTACAGTTCCAAAAGAGCAGTGAACATGCACTTTTCAGCGTTTCTGTAGTTGATGTATTTACACAATTGACTCAATGCTTTGACGTCGTATCAAAATTAGAATGTCCCGATCCTGAAATATGGAAGAGATATATGAAAAGATTCGCAAAAACGATAGTCAAAGTTTTAGAGGCATATGCAACAATTGTTAAACAAGAATTTCCCAGTCATCTTAAAGACGAGCGCATTGTAAGTATTAGCAAAAATTTCTTATTCAATTCAGATTAATTTCTTTTAGAAAAAATTCAAATACTATTTAACAAAAACAGGAATATTTTCATAATTCTCTGCATTTTTTTTTTTTTTAATTACAGGCTTGCATTCTAATGAATAATATTCAGCAATTGAGAGTACAATTGGAGAAGATGTTTGAATCGATGGGTGGTGAAAAATTGGAGCAAGATGCATCAGATATATTGAAGGACTTGCAACAACAATTAAATGGAGCCTTGGATGATCTTGCAATGCTCTTTGCAAAGAGTCTTGAACCAAGAATAACAGTATCCGTCCGAGAACTTGGAGACTTATTGCTATCGATAAAGGGCGGTGCACAATTAAATCAAGCAAATCAAAGGAATAATATTGGTAATGTTAACGCGGAAGCTGACGAGGTATTGAGACCATTAATGGATCTTCTTGATGGAAGTTTATCACTCTATGCCCAATCCTGCGAGAAGACTGTGCTCAAGAGATTGCTCAAGGAATTGTGGAAGATTGTCATGAGAATTCTTGAGAAAACTGTTGTCCTCCCACCAATGACTGATAAGAGTGTTAGTATTTTTTGAAATTAATTCATCTTTTTTTTCATACTTGAATTTTTTTTTTAATTTTAATTTATTAAAATTTTCTAAAATGATATAATTATAAAAATAATTAGTTACACTTAAATAAAAATAATATTTATGACGATATAATTTAATAGATGATGCTCAAGAACCTGACAGACAATGCAAAGAATTTGGCAGCGAACGCAAAGATCGAGGATATGTCGAGGTTATTCAAGAATCACATGGCAGGCAAACCGGATGTGAAAGGAGCATTTAGTGGTGTTATGGTTTGTAGTTTTGTTAATTTGCCAATGAAATAAAAATTATCTCGAAATTCTTGATTCTTGTCGTTAAAAATTTTTGTTTTTCTTTTTCAAAGGAGGTGGAAAAGAATTTATCGCCAAAACAATGTGCAGTTTTGGATGTTGCCTTGGATACAATTAAAAATTATTTCCACGCAGCTGGTAATGGCCTGAAGAAGACCTATCTTGAAAAATCGCCTGAACTACAAAGTCTTCGATATGCATTGAGTTTGTACACACAAACAACGGACACACTCATTAAAACCTTCGTTACAACACAAGTCCATCAGGGTAAGTGTCTACATGTATATAATTTATAATTTTGATATTTTTGCAAAATAACCTTCAGACGGCACATAAAAACCTATAAATATAGATCTTCTAAATGACTTTAGAGTTTCCAATCAAGGTAGATATATTTATAGTTACTACCATATTTCACTATATTGGTATTATTGACAAATTCAAAAATCACTTTTTTTGAAACAATATCACAGAAACACATACATCAAACATTTACAAAGACAAATGATAAATTAATTTGTTCTAATTTTTCTTATTTAGTTTTATTGTTATGAACACATAAAAAACTTGAACAAATCACATTAAGAATTAACAAAAAGAAATTAGGGTCAATACATATTTTCACCAAAGTATCGTTGCCGAACTAATTTTTTAAAAATTACACAGCCACATAAAAAAAGTGTCTTGATCTGGGGTCGAAACATATATGTATTCCTATGTATTTTGATGCGCTGAATTCGAATCCGCCATCAGAATTTGGCCAATAGGTCCTGGTTTCGCTCTAACCTCAACAAATACCTTAAAATCGCTAAAATGATCTCTTTTGATTGATCAAAATTAAACCCAACCATACATATTGATAAGTTTCTAAGTTCATTTAATTTAAATAAACTATTCTACAAACTTTCCAAGTGAAAATTTATATAAAACATCAAATCTATCGATTCTAACCTTAAAAATACATCTAAGCTTCCAAACAAACAAATTATACCATACATAGCGCAATTAAAAATAGGTAAGCTTATGAAAGTTACTACTCAGGTCTTTTTGTGGTTCCTGATTACGGATCCGATGTCAAGTTTCAAAAATTCTAAATGGCGGATCCAATATGGCGGCCAAAAATCCTACAATTAGACCTAAGTTGATGAAAGTTGTTACACGTGGGTTTTCGGGGTCGCTGATTACGAATCCGATGTCCGTTCAAAATGGCGGATCCAATATGTCGGACTTTATTATTTTAACGAATTTTTTAAAATTTATTATTCTGAATCACGAGTTTGCAATAGTATATATTTAAAGATTAAGTGCTGTTAAGTACGGGAAACACAATAAATACAATCGACTTGAAATTAATTACTAGAAATTTTTAGGGGTCACCAATTAAAAATTTAATGTCAGATTCGTAATTGCAGCGCCTCTGAAAACCCCCCGAGTAACGATTTTCAAGCGAATCTAAACAAATTTTTAAAAAATTGTCCGCCATTTTGAATTTTTAGAAACGGACATCGGATTCGTAATCAGCGACCCCGAAAACCCACGTGTAACAACTTTCATCAACTTAGGTCTAATTGTAGGATTTTTGGCCGCCATATTGGATCCGCCATTTAGAATTTTTGAAACTTGACATCGGATCCGTAATCAGGAACCACAAAAAGACCTAAGTAGTAACTTTTATGAGCTTACCTAATTTTTTTTGCGATATGTATGGTATAATTTATTCATTTAAAAGCTTAGATGTATTTTAAGATATTTTTTGAGGTTAGGGCAAAACCAGGACCCATTGGCCAAATTCTGATGGCGGTTTCGGATTCAGCGCATCAATATACATACATAGGAATATATAAATCTCGACCCCAGATCAAAACACATTTTTTTTGTGTTGCTGTGTTATGATACATTCCAAAAATGATCTCGAAGGTGTCAAGATCATGAAATGAAAAGAATTTTAATAAAATTAAAAATATTTATTCTTTACTTTAAAATCATATTTTAAAGTAAATTTTTATTTTTTTTTTATAAAAACTCTTTTTATTTCGTGATCTTGATACCTTCAATATCATTCAAGCAATCATAATTTTTAAAAAAAATTAGTCGACAACAACTTTGGACGAAATATAATGAATTGACCAAATGATAATTCTTAAATAAGAAATATTTTTTCCTAAACGCGGTTAAGAGTGTAAATTTTGTTTGACAACAACATAATGTAAAATTATTAGTGCCTCTGAACGATGCGACAACTATGAATCAACGTCAGCGCTCGATGAGCAGTGAAAGGGGTGACGATGGAGAGGGACTCGAGGGTATGGAAAGCCTCGAGGAACCTCTTCGCCAGAGCAAACCTCCTCTCCGTCGAGAGAGTCGACAAGGTACCAGAATAGTTTTGAGTGGAACTGATATATAAGAATTGAGCTCTGCTCTCTTATTCTGAAATTAGATTAACACACATATATATATATATATATATATATACTACTATAGGACGTAGTGGACTGTTTGTTGCATTTTATCGAGACGTCTTTTTAGCTTCTAATTTTATATAAATTAAAATTATAACTAGCTTATTTTCATTCGATTTGAAAAAAATTATTGTTTTTTTGTTTGAAAGATGACAAAAACATTAATAGAAGTGATTCATAGATCATTAATAAAATTGGGGTGCATGATTATATCCCATAAAAATTATTAGTGAGAATTTTCATTTTTAAAAATTTTATTACATATAATTATTATTTAGACGAATTTTCATTTTTCGAATTAACATTTGTCAGAATTTCTTTTTTAAAGAATATTTAATTAACAGAATTTTTAGATAATTTTTATTTGGTAGAATTCTTAAAACGCCGAATTTTTATTTATCCGAAAATGCAAATGGCCGAAGAAACAATGAACAGGAAAATTTCGCCGCGAGTTTTAAAATCCACCAATCACGATTTTCTTGACAATTTTTGATTGGTGAAATTTAAATATCGCGCCAAAATTTTCTGTCGATTGTTTTTTCGGCCATTTGCAATTTCGGACAAATAAAAATTCGACGTTTTAAGAATTCTGTACCATAAAAATCCGACACATAAGAATTCTGTTAAGTAAAAATTTGTTTAAAAAGTAATTCTGTCAAATGTTAATTCGAAAAATAAAAATTCGTCTGGAAAATAATAATTATATCTAATAAAATTCTTTAAAATGAAAATTGTAACTAATGATTTTTATGGGATAATTATGCGTCCCATAAAATTATTTGGGATTTCCAGTAGGGTAAAAAAGTTTTTAAAACAATTAAAAACAATTAAAATTATAAATAATTTTGGTTAAACACAGATAACAATTTCGCTACGGTAAAATTAAATTTATCCGAAGACGTCTCGATATGCGATAGTCATTCTAGGTGCTGCTGCTATATTGTCGCTACTGATGCTATTGCTGCTAAATATCGAAAACCCTTTGCTGATCCACGCAATAAACATTATCTTACAGTTTTTCATTTTTTTTTTTTTTTTTTGAAAAAAACACGTTTTAAAATTTAAACACAAATACACGAAAAAAACACAAAATTTTATATTTTCTTGAAAATTTGCGAATTTTACACCCTGCAAGTTTAAACACGTTTATAGTGAATATTATTTTCAGCATTTAGTGTGTGTGTCACTCTAAATTGAAAAATTTATTTTTTAAAGATCTAATCATAATAAAATTAATGTATAGATTAGTAGCAATTTAAAATTTTTTTTACATTTCCAATTGTTAGTGTGAATAAGCTTCATTAATTTATAATACATTTATTTTTATAATTTTATATTTTTTTTCATTATTGTTTTTATATACAATTTAAATAATTAATATGATTTTGACAATAAGGAATTTTTTATTGCGATAATAAATTATTGAGGGAGGGGAAAAATGTGATTTCTAATTCGACAAGAGTTGAATGGGGATCATTAAAGCTTAATCCAGAGTGCACCAAAGTAGCTAATTAATATGAATTAAGATTTTTGATTTTCAGTATATTACCTACGTAATAAAAGAAAAAAAATATATTTTTGAGAAAAATGATGAAATTAATTAAAAATGAATCTATTATTATTATATTCACGAAACTTGATGGATAAACAGACGCCTGAATGAAAAAAACCATATTCAGGCTATTCAACACAATAATTATTATTAACGCATGTAGTCTACTTTTTAGCACTACTTTGAGCCAAAAAATGTAGAACGATTTATTATAGTACTTTCTAGTTTATAGTTCTAGAAGATGGTACTTTGAAAATTATAATTTAAAAGCTAAAGCTCTTAAACAAGTTTTGAAGATATATTAAACAATTTTTTTATACTTACAGATACCGCTAGTTCTGATGAAGGTTCCGTGGGTGAAGTAAGCATCCAAGTCGATCTATTCACACAACCTGGTACCGGAGAACAGAAAGTTAGCGTTAAAGGTAATAATTTTTTAATCTTCAAATTTTAAAGCTTTTTAGTTTCACACAATATAATAATTTATAATTCAACTCATACGTGTCCTTAAATTACAGTTGTGGCTGCAAATGATCTGAAATGGCCCGAAGCTGGTGGAATGTTCAGGCCATTTGTTGAGGTGAATCTAATCGGTCCACATCTAGCCGACAAGAAAAGAAAGCACGCCACCAAGTCAAAGAGCAATAACCTGTCACCGAAGTTCAACGAAACCTTCCATTTGTAAGTTCAATAATAATTAAAATCGTCTTATAAATGAATAACACAGGCCAACACTGATTTTGGTGCGGCAAATGTCAGACCTGTTTTTGATATGTTTTTTCATGCTGAACACAAATCCGTAAACGAAATGTTCCTATCAGCTCTAGTTTTTGAGAAAAACGGGTTTTAAATTTTCAAAAATCGCGTTTTTGGCTAACTTTGAGTAGCTCTAGCACTGAAATAAAAGGTCGTAGAACCTTCCACTTGGGCTTAATGTTTTAACTATTATCCCCAAAAATGACCTATGTTGCACCATAATCTCAAAGTCATTTGTTATCATTTTTGATTCGCAAATATTAATTTTGTAAAAGTTTGAGCGCGTACCTCTAGCAAAGAAAACAAGGAGGGGGTCCTTTATGTTTATTTCATAAACATTATGCTTCCTCATTGTGTGAAGCGAAAAATTCGCTTCCTCGTGAAGGAAGCAATGAATTTGTCCAATTCAATTGATTGATTTAAAAAATTTCGAGTTAAAAATGTTTTAAATTAATTAAATTTTTTGAAAAATAAAGAAAATTTTAATTAATTTTGAGTGTAACATAAACTTTATATATACGAATCGATTCGTTTTAATGCAAGGAATACAATTATTTTATTCATCAACTTGAATTTAAAAAAAACACAAAATTTTTTAGCTAAAATATGAATTTTCGATTTTTCAATTTTTATTAATTCTCAAATTTTAAATCAAATCTATGCTTTATATATACCAACCAATTCGTTTCAATGCAGGGAATAAAATTATTTCATATATAAACATGAATTTAAATAAACACATCATTTTTTAGCTAAAATGAGAATTTTTGATTTTTTAACTTTCTTTAATTCTTTAAATTTCAATCAAATCTATACTTTATATATATCAATCGATTCATCTTGACATAAAGAAGACGATTATATTATATATTACCTTAAATTTTTCGATTTAAAAATTTTTTCAATTAAAAAAAAATTTTTGGAAAAAAGACGATAAAATTTTTTTTTTTGGGTATTTTTAAAAATCCTCTCGTCATTTTTGAGAGATTAATGTGTTAAATAAGCCTACCAAATTTTATCCAAATCCATTAAAACCTGTTAAAGATATCGTGTTCACAAAAACGATTCCCACACACACATACACACACACACACATACATACATCCGGACAATTGATCAGGATCTCATATAACATGTTTCTATATAGAGGAAAATTTGTTTTCACCATTTTTAAAAAGTTTATAAACGAAAGGACTACATAGTTTCCTCCACGAGGAAGCAAAAGGATCATAGATCCTTTTATTTGAACTTAAAATAAAGTTTGAACTTTAGACTACAAGCCCTAAAAATTATATTATTCACTAATAACCTCAAAATTGTTGGTAACCAGTATTTAACTGCCCAGTAAAAAAAAAGAATTAGGAATAAGCGAAAAGAATTGGTGGTAACTTAAGCTGAATGCGGTTTGGCGAAGAAACCGAATTGGAACGTTACGGTGAATTATTTTTTTCTTACCGTGAATTCTTTTCTCTTAAACATTTGAATTGACGTTTGTTTATTCGAGTTTGCATTATAAATAAATAAGAATAAAAGTTTCGAAGTCTAAAAAAGCCGATTTGGAATAAGAAATGAATAATTTTTTAAAAAGAAATAAAAGTGAAATGTGATAGATTTACCGACAATTTTACCATGTGAGTACAACTCATATGGTAAATTTATCATATGAACACTACTCAATTAATAAAATCGTCGGTGAATCTGTCACACTTCGCTTTCATTTATTTTTTTTAAATTAATATTTCTTATTCCAAATCGGCTTTTTTAGACTTCGAAGCATTTATTTTATTCATTTATAATGCAAACTCGAATAAACAAACGTCAATTCAAATGTTTAAGAAAAAAGAATTCACGGTAAGAAAAAAATAATTCACCGTAACGTTCCAATTGGGTTTTTTCGCCAAACCGAATTCAGCTTAAGTTACCACCAATTCTAATCGCTTACTCCCAATTCTTTTTTTTTACTGGGTGCAGAACTTATTTTGTAATATTTGAATAACTCTAGTCAATAAAACCGAAGGTGAGTGAACCTTCTTGTTGAGCTTCAATTCAATTTATCCCTTGACTGTAGTTGATAAAAATTACATTGCTGCACCTTAACCTCAAGGAATAAATGTACGCGCTCAAACTTTTACAAAATTAATATTTGGGAATCAAAAATGGATAACAAATGACTTTGAGGTTATGGTGCAAGATAGGTCATTTTTGGGAATAATAGTTAAAAACATTAAGCTTCAAATTAAGCCCAAGTGGAAGGTTCTACAACCTTTTGTTTCAGTGTTAGAGGTACTCAAACTTAGCCGTAAATGCGATTTTTGAACATTTTAAACACGTTTTTCTCAAAAACTAGAGCTGATAGGAAATTTTTGTTTACGGATTCGTGTTTGGCATGAAAAAACCTATCAGAAACAGGTCTGATATTTGCCGCATCAAAAAGGTTTGCTAATTTTTTTGGCCTGTGTAATGAATCGCAAACTTTGACAAATTTTGTTAAACTATAATTCAGAAATCCTATTTTACAATTCAAGTTGCGTTTATGGAAATTTTTTATCATTATACAAGACAATTTCATTCATCATTCATGCTTTAATTAGTAGGAATCATTTTCATGCTATAAAAGCTAGATTTTTCTCACCGTGTATAAATTGCAGATGACAATAATAAAAAAAAAATCTTTAATTTTACAGCATTATTGGAAGCGATCAAACACTTCTTGACTATCTCGAGTTGCACATTTGCGTGAAAGATTATTGCTTCGCTCGTGATGACAGACTAGTGGGAGTAGCAGTAATGCAATTGAAGGACATCATGGAGCAAGGCTCGTGTGCTTGTTGGTTGTCATTGGGTAGAAGAATTCAAATGGACGAGACGGGTTGGACAATATTGCGAATTCTTTCGCAAAGAAATAATGACGATGTTGCCAAGGAATTTGTCAAATTAAAAAGCGATATCAGACAGGAGAATCCACTTCCAAATCCAACTTGAAGCATTAAATCAACGGGTGCCAAGTAAATTAACAACAGTACAACAAGTACAACTGAATCCATTAGGCTTCGAAAGAGCCTGAAGGAGATAATAAAGGGAAGAGTGACATTGTGTGTGTCCAAGTCCCTTTCAAGAGAAATGACTACTGGACCCTTAAGACTGTTGAGTGGTGGAGAGAGGGGTCCTTTCAAAATGCACAAAGCCTTGCCAAAAAGAAGACTGATAAGATCCACACTTCGAGTATCAGGAAAACATGTCAACAAAACTCGGAACTTCTCCATGATGTTTTTTCTTCGACAATTATTTTCTATAAATTGGATCTTGTCCATTGACTATATAGTTCTTCCCACTTTTTCTACGAGAGCTTGAAGAAAAAGCGTGAATCACTGAATACATCCAAAAAAAAACAACAAGAATTTAGCCAAGACACAATGTAAAATAGAGGAGCTTTGGATTATTCTTCGTCGAGGCGCATAAAGAAACGAGTGTTTAATACATACACACTTGAAGGTGAAGAAAATACTGCTGCCAGTACGCAATATTTTTAAGGTAAAAGTGAATCTAAGATCGATAAATATAAAAGATTTAAGTGCGTTGATAAAATAATTAAAAAAAAAAAAAAAATCGAGAGACATTTTGCCACTTTTGCGAACACTAGTGGCGAGAAACTCGAAAAATTATATTAAGTAGTTAATTTTAAGTAATAATAATAATAAAATAATAATAATAATAATAATAATAATAATGAGTCTTCGAGACGACTCATAACAAGGCACACACTTACAACAATTTAAGTATGCGTCTTTTAAGAATGATGTAATAAAATAAGGAAGTTGACGCTGAGTGTAGAATACGTTTTTTTGCTCATCTCTACGACCACTTCCTTGTATTTAAGAAAGAATGAGTTCTAATGTAGATATATATAATGATCGATGCGTTGTTGACGAAGAATTTTTTCTAATATAAATTAAGGTAGCATTGCGTACGACCAAATAGGCGCATCTTGGCGACACTCATGATGCGCCGCTAGTTATATAAATATAGACATATTAACAATGTAAAGAATGTTCTTATCGTAAAAAGAAAGAAAAAAAAGAAAAAAGAAAGAAGTATCAAGTCGAAAAAAAGTCTGTCTGCCGCGATGAATGAGAATAAATTTTTTTTGTTTGATATTTCTTCATCTCGTACAAATGTCGTGAAAATTTAATTCAATCGTTACAAGAATTTATTTTTTAATTAAAAAATGTTTCGAACTAATTTCTAGAATTTATGAATTTTTGCCTTCTCAATTTTACCTATTTATAATTTGTGTAACAAATTTTAATTATTATTAATTATTTAATTTTTAATATCATTAATTCTAAAAATATGTTAATATGAAATGAATTTTCCTTTACTTGGACACTAAATTATAATGCGTTGATTAAAAATAATAAATTCGATTTTATATAAACTAACGATGTGCGTACGAGATAAAGACAATCACATAAAAACACACAAATTCCGAGAAACACAAATGCACGTTTACTTTGATTGAATTTCATCGTTTCATCAACAATAATCCAAAATCTTAAATAGTCTCTTAACTGTGAGATGAAAAAAAAGAAGATTCTTGACTCGATCCAATTTCTACTTCGTAGCATACAACAAGAAAAAATTGTGTCTAGCATTTATCGTTATATAACGTATAGCTACGAGTCCAGCGCGGAGTATATCATTATGCAGATTTACAGAACTAATGCGAGCTATAGTAAACGTTACAAATTACTTTTCTCATTTTTTTTTTATCAACGATTTTTACTAAAATAATACTAGAATAATTTTTTTTTTGTAAATATTTCTTCTAAATATCCCCCCCTCCCCCAAGAAAAAATTCGTCGAATAAAATTTTTCTCAGATACCTCAATTTCGTCATCATAAATATATATTTATTATTTTTATTTCTTTGTTAACTTCTCCGCTGCCTATTAAAATATGGATGTAGAGATATATGAAAAAGGCTGCATTTAAAGTCGATTTGTTCCTCAACGTTCAAATGTGATAAAAAAAATGTTCTAATTTATAAATTAAATCGGTTTTAAAATATTTTCACTATCGCAGTTGTACGTTGACAAATTATCGATTTAAATTTTCTTCTTACTCTCAGCTTGGATTCTTATCTTGTAAGCTATATAAAAACAAAATATCTCGTGTATTCTGTGATAATTACCCCTTAAAAAAATATACACGTTAACATTCTTTATATGTATACACATCAGCATTCTAAAAAAACAAACAAACAAACAAAAAAAAAACACTGTATACACTCTGTACATTGACACACTAAAAACATTTCCATCCCAGTAGAAGGAGTATTTTTCTCTTATAGGAAAACCAAAAAAAAAAAAAAAACATTTTGAATCCTATATTCTATACGTATATCACCCATGACGCGATAAGCGAATAAAATAACTTGTGGCAATAATTGCAAATAATCTAAGAGAATTTTAAAAGGAAAATTTTCATAAATATTCGATAATTTTCAATAGTTTTTTTTCTTAATTTCCTAATTTCAAAATTTATATTTCGTTTTCCAATATAGTTTTCTCAAAATGTAAAGGCAGGAATAATTTGTATTTCATTTTCTTTTGCCTCGAATATAAATTCGAATCTATCTTATACCGAATTTTTATCTTGAACAAAATTTCCTTTTAACAGATTTTTTTAGTAAAGAAATTTTTTAACAGAATTTTTATATGTGAATTCATTTGCTATTTATATGAACTTTAGCAGAATTATTACTTGACAAACATTTTAAATAACCAACTTATATCCGGAATTTTTCTTGAAGTCTTCAATCTATGAACTGTAGGTAAAGTAGATCATTTACGCGGTAAATTTGAAAAAAAATTTAACAATACTAAAAATAGGAATAAAAAATTTTGTTGTCTCAACTCCAAAAAATATATTAAGTTTAAAGAAGAAACAAAAAATTAAAAATCAAATAATAATTAAATAAAAATCGTGGTAAAAATTTATTGATAAAGTGAAAATTTTTAAAATAACTTATTGAAAATTATGTCGATATGTAGTAAAGTAAGAATAATAATTATGATGAAAATAAAAACACGAAAAATAATTATGTAATTGAAAAAATACAATTTTGAATTAAATTCAATTAATTATCGAATATCTTTGAAATTTTTCTTCTAAAATTCACTATAGAACAATAAAACCAAAAATGAAGAATAAATTATGCGAAAATAGTGGGTCAAAAAAAAAAAAAAGAATATTACCCATAAAAATATACACAATTGTTGACAATACTATGCTTGAAAATCATATGGCGCGTATGTACTGTACCTAATATATGAAAAATAAAAAAAAACAAGAGAATGCTTGTGTTTTTCGTAAGTAAACATGTGACTGAGTGTTTATTAGGTATAATTAAAATGCGTACCTTGATTTTTGTCGCTCATGGTGAGTGTTATACTACTTGTTATGAAAAAAAGAAATAATTTTTTCAAAATGAAATCATGTCATTATACACACTTTTGAAATCTTATAATAGACTATCCGCAGTGTAATTGTATCCCATACCAAACACGCACATTCACAAATGTACATTAACATTTATCTATTACTTTTGAAAAAAAAAAAAAAAATTTTATCATTAATAAACAAGTTCCTTTCGTTCGTTCACTCGCTCTAGAATGCTCTCTCTCCGAAAATTTATTGCCAAATGAAAAATAATTAAATTACTATAAAATTTTAAATACTCCATTTTTTTTTTATAGTAAATAAAAAAAATAGAAAATTCAGATTTAAAATTTTTAAATTCATATATGTACAGTTTTTTTAAACTTTCATCTATAAATTTAAAAATATTTTATATAAATATAGACATTCTTTTTGTCTTTAATCAATAAACACATATCTATGACAAATATTTTGAAGATTATTATTATTATTAATATATATTATATGTATGTAAAAATTATCTTAAAAACTTGAACAAAAACGATAAATTTTTATTGTATCTCTATTGTAAAAAAATGATTTTTATATTTTTAAATTACATTCAAATATTTTACAAAAGAATAATCTATAAAAAAAAATGTAAAAAAATTATCTTAAAATTGTAGTTTTTAATTTTCGAATTGGGTATTTTTTTTGTCAATACTAGATGCAAAAATTATAGAAATCAAATTCGCGTGAAAAAATTTACTTTTCTTTCGTTTTATTTGCACAATTAAAAAATGAGCATATTCGAGCTAATTCTGTATAGTTATGACGGGGTGTGAATATTTAAAAATAGAAACATTAATTTCATCAATTAATTCTAATTCAAATTTCATTTCATTATGTGTACATTTAGGGTGTCCTAAAAAAAGAATAATTTTTTTTCTTACATCCATTTTCAATTATTTTGTGAAAAAAAAAATTATAAATTTCGAAATTTTTTTTTAATATTTAAACTCTGATGAATTTACTATTTTGGATTTTTTGCAATCTGTCTTCAAAATCACAATCAATGCAAAAAAAAAAAAATTTGCCTGGAACAGCGAAATATTTCACTAGAATAGCAAAAGTTTTCTGTTGTTTCAGTTAAATCTTTCGCTATTCTAGTGAAACTTTTTTTCCGTGATACAATTTTTTTTCCACTTTAAATGAAAAAAAAATATGTAGGTGAAAAAAAAAAAATTTTTTTACACCCTAGTGTTCACGTATTACGAAATGCATAAAACTTAAATCCATAAAATTTCGAAAAGTAATATATTGACATAAAATATTCATATATTATATTATAAATAACTATAGCAGCAAAGCCTAGAAAAAAAGGACAATTTTGCTACGTCATTCGTACACATAGATAATCGAGACTAGAATTTAGAAAACAGCAAAAAAAAAATGTGTTTAAAAAATAAAAACGAGTGTGAGTGAGCGAAGGAAAGATATGAATATAATTGCATAATAAAAAAAATAAAATAAAGACAGTAATAAAAGAAATCGATTTTGAATCACATACGAAATGAAAAAGAAAGTTCTCGGGAGGAATATAATATATATTATACAGTGACGGTATGAATATTTATTGACTTTTTTATTTTTTTCTATTTTGAAAAATTTACAAAAAAAAAAATTCTCATTTTTAAATTAAAATTATTGTTCTTTATATTTAACGAAACGTTTCATAAATATTCATACCCTATCTATATTAAATTAGTTAATAATTAGCAGAATTGAAGAATTGATGTCATAAACGTAGCCGTAGGGTGGAAAATTGAATTTTTTTTTTATTAAAACCTCATTTTCAGCCCGCAGCTACGCTTATGATTACAAAGACAGAAAAGAGAAAGAGAAAAGACTTTAAAAAAAGTTGTAAAGTATTAAGAATTGTAAGAATAGAATTGTAAGAGTGAGAGAGAGAGAAAAAAAAAAGTTGTACGAGTATAAAAAGAGTATATTGCCGTTAATCATTATACTGTGCCGTGTTCCATATCATTACATCTTATATTGAGAAGAGAAAAAGAGATTAAATTATTACTCGACTACAATAAGTCTAGCTAGATAGAATATTATTATTTTTAATATTAAAAATAATATTATTTTTATTATTAATCTTAATATTATTTTTTTTATCCGATCTATGAGTGAACTAGTGAATAAAGTTGCTTGGAAAAAATGTATTAGCAAATAATTGGACAATTTTTGTGAGCAGCAATATTGTACAACTAGCGAAAAAAAACCCCTCAAGATCTCTCGACTGTAGTTGATAATTAATAAATCTTCCCCCCACTACTGTTTGCAAAACTTCTCTTTGTTCCTCTCTTTGGAAAAATAATTGATCGTTTGTTATAGTAGCTTTCAGTAGTTGTTAGCTAGAGAGACCTTGCGGGGTTCAAATAGAGATTGAGAAGAAGACTCGGATAAAGATATAAATATATATATATATATTATAATCACAAAATACGAGACCTCATCTCACTCATTTCAAAATTTCTTTAAAAAATCAATTTTTTTCAAATACTAATCTTCTTTTATTTCTAAGCAACACTGATATAACATCTGAAAGTGTAAAATATCACAAAAAAAACCAATTCGTATAATCGCATAATTTGCACATACAATTGCACATATTATACATATTAATGAAAAAGAATATTTGTACAGAGAAGCGGTTTATAACGATACTCGAAATCTCAACTTTCTTATAACGATACAATTTCATTATTTTCTAATTATATATATTTTTTATTCTTTCTTTTTTTTTAAAAAAAAAAAGGAGTAAGAATCTTCGAGTTCGTAACACCGTCTATGATTCCTTGTTTTATTCAAATCCAACCGTCTTATCAAGTGCACTATTAAAAAAAAAATATAAATATATATATATTAAGATCTTGAATGATAAGAAAATAGGCGAAAAAAAGGAAAAAGCATTTTGAAACAAGGAAGAATAAAGAAACAATTATGTAATTTCAATTCAAAAGCACACCACCCGTTCTTCCAAGTCAGATTTTATTATTATTATTATAAACGTTTGTAAATAAATGCGCGTGATCTTCTTTGGTCCAGCTTTTGATCCGATATAGGTATACATATGTAGCACACGCAAACAAAAAAAAAAAGAAAACATTTTGCCACTCGTCGTTATAATTATTCTTCAGACATTTATCCGCACTAAAAAAAATCTCCTCTATATTTATTCTCCCGGAAAAAAATATACCGCATATCGGCTGGGTACGGTGTGATTGAAACTAATAATGTTTTACAGTCGTTCTCGTAATTATTCATTTAAACCAAAAAAAAAAAGTTATAAATGATACGTTCTTATGAGCAATTTATAAATTGTCGAAAAACTATATGAAATTTGTTTTTATTATATACCCCACCTTATACATTGTGAATTTTAAATTTAACAGCATGTAATTATTAGGTCTACAATATTTATTTTTTCAGGAACTTTACTATTAAAAATTTTAAATATTGAAAAGATTGATGTGACATTTTGTGGACATGTTTCAAATATGATGAGAAACAATTGTTATGTGAGAAAATTGTGATATTTTGTTGAATTAATTATTAGGTATAATATTATTCATCAGATAGAAACTGATTTTATAGGAAATTTTTTAATTAATTAAAAAATTTACTCAATTAACTCCATAAATTTTATAATCGTTTCCGATTTTAAGGCACTTTTACTGATAATTGATGATGTCAGATTGCAGTAACAAGAGACATAATGTTGACGTAATAATCACATTATATGCTGTTAAATTAATAATATAATCTTAAAAACTGCTAGATGCAAAAAAATTACGTTTAGTGCTATTTCCGGTTCAGATTTTAGACTAAGGTCTAGAATCACAGAGTAAAGGTAGCTTGTATAGGCAATGCAACTCAACATTAAAACACCAAAGACGATTCTTTCTGCCAATTTTTCTGGTTCGTTGACGATCGACATTCCCATTATATTTTGACTGATTTTAAATGTTTGCCATGTGTTTCTGTTGAATTTTAACAACCAGGCTGTAATTCGAATGAGAGCAATTGCACCAGCCGTTACGGAGAGCATGGTAATCAATTCCTGCGAAGCTATACGATAGTCGTAGTTAATCTCGTATTTTTTGGAAGATTCGGTAAATTAAAAATTTTTCCATTTAAAAATTCGAATCACTTAAAATTCTGTTTAATGAAAATTTTATTTCAATTGATATTCGGTTAAATTAGAATTTAATTAGAAATTCTGTAAAATAACAATTTTGTCAAAAAAAAATTAATTAGCTAATTTGTGAAGTAAATAGAAATCGTAACAAAAAATTAAATATCGCGCCTAATGTAATTGTCTATTCATTACCAACAGCAACATAAATAGAAAGCTGAATAAATTATGATACTTAAATGAAATTCAATTTGAAAGTTTTAAAAAATAAAATTACCAATAAATGGAAATTTTAATAAAAATAATACCTTCTCATGTGATGAAAATGTAAAAATACATACAATAAAAATAAACAAAGATTCCAATGAAACTTTGGAATTTTGTTACATACAGTTCGACTAATCTTTAACGTAAATTTCGGATTAAAATATTTGTTCGTTTACGAGATTTGCAATAATAATAAAAAATTTAAAAATGCTATATCTTCCGTTCTATTAATCGGATTAAGTTTTACCTTTTTTTTAAATATCAAGGGAAATGAGAGGAATAAATTTCATTTAGAACAATTTTTTATAATTTTGCAACTAAAAAAAATTATTAAATAATAATTGAATAAATTTCGTACGCCAATCTAAAATTAAATTATTTAAACGCTAAAATGATCTTATGTGTGTTTTCTTTAATGTTCCAAAGGAATCCAATTGTAAGTGCAAGTTTAACTTATTTAATTTTAATAATTTTCGAGTATAAACAATTGCAATTTTTGATAGTTGACAACAAAAAATTATTTCGTTCATTTGAACGTTCGAAACTTCAGGCACATTAACTTTAAACAAAAAACAAAATGTTAATATTTGACAAGAAATTTTAAAATAAATTTGTTTTTTCAAAATTGTACAACTGAATTTTTCAAAATTTAATAAAGTTAATTTTAATTATAGTTTTATTTAGTGATAAAACCAATTTTTAATTTGAGGTTATGTCAAGGGGTTGAACCGTTTTAACGTTAAGGTTTTGATTATTTTTTGTAATTTTTAACCCTTTTTTGAGAAAAACGAAAAAATCCAGTCGAATTCAGTAGAAGACACTTTGGAGTCCTGAATGGTGCAGTTTCGTCTCATAACCATTTAAATAATATTTTTCCATTGTTGAACAACAATATTAAGAAATATATAAAAAACGGTTTTTTAATTACAGTATTTATTCATAGGTATTATAATTTCCATTATAAAAGGAAACTTTTAATGACTACAAACAAACTTTAATGTTTAAAATTTTAAATAATGAAAATAATCTTGAGTGAATTCAGGTAAGAATTCAAATTATTTACAACAACTTTACATAAAAATAAATTAATAAATATCAACTGCAGTGGTTTTGTTCGGCCAACGATCCTGTAATACAAATAAATATTCATTTTATTTAATTATTTATATACATAAACGGGCCTTGGCAAGAAATCAAAATGGCCCTTTCGTACAAAAAAGTACTAATAAAAAGAAGACTATAAAAAACATTAAAAATTACAATTATTTTTATACAGTAAACAAAATATTAATATCTTAAAAATATATTTTTTTTAATATATTAAATTCATATTTCAACGATTATAACCTCAATTTTAGGAAAAAAAAAACAAAAATTTGTCAAAAAAACTATATTTCAATTTCCACCTTATATTTTGAAATAAAAACAATGTTAAATAACTATTTTTTGCATAAAAAAACTTACTTTTGATTTATCTTTTAATGGTCGAATCTCCAAAGGAGCAAGAGAGTCATGTTTCCTCCAAGTGTATAAATCATGAGTCCCTAAATATGCCAGAAAAAATGCCTTGCAAATAACCAAACTGAAATACACGTTAGATGCCTGAACCATTGTATTATTTTTCAAACTATTTTCTTCAGATAGAACAAAACAAAAATCTTTAATGAAAACTCATCTCCAAAATAACTTTGCACAACAGCTGATTTATGTCGTCGATATGTTATGAAATTGCCAAAATGGCTTCACTTCCTGTATTTCGAATCTTCGTTCTCTATATATGGTAAAACAGGACAAAAATTAAGAAAAATTAAAAAACGCGGTATATTTAAAACCATCGATACAAAATATTAAGTATTGTTTATTTTAAATAGATAACTATTTTAAGAAATTAAAATGTTTTAAATTATTTAATGACTAATTTATTATTTAAAAGAAAAAGACAAATGTAGATAATAATAATTGTTTAAAAAAGAAAATAACTGCCTTATCAACGAAATGAAGATTATCGTTAAACTCACAAGATGGCGACATTGTCGATAGATGAGAATATGTAAAATCATAGCGATTGGTTAAAGAGAATTGTGAAACCCCGCCCACCAGGTGGCCGTTCGAAAGTGTAGTTGTGTAGTTCATTACGGAGAAACGTCGGGCGCTGCTCTCTTCAATCGAGAGAAAAATCTTAAATGAATCGTGTCGGTGCGTTAATATGTAACGATTAACGAAAAAGTTTACGTGCGGGTCTACCAATTTTTGGGGACGAGGGTCGTGAGTGCCAGTGTTGTTTCAAGATCATTTTTTTTTGGTGTGCAACTCACTTTTTTGAGGGGCTGCAAAACTAGGGTTAGTCGACGTCAGCTGGTCGGAAATGGCGGCGCTGGTGGCAGGTGTCCAGTATGGTTTGTCTTCGCACGCCAATTTTCATGAAAACAAGTCCCTTATCTTCGTCAAACTCACCGATTCAGCGCAGCGTGCCATCGAAGATTTTTTGCGCAATCGGGTAAGTAAATTTGACATTTTTTTGTTCATAACACAATATTCTTTGGTGATGATGATAATTAGCAAATGTGTGTGTATATGTATGTGTGTCCGTCGGTAAGGGAAACGCGAGAGCGAGAGAGAGAGACAGATAGATTTGGTATGAGACGAAGCAAGTGAGAGGGAGAAAGCGTGCAAGTAGGATAGACATATATTTCATAGTTCGACTTTCAGTTCTACTTGGCCCTGATATTTGCATATTTAACAAATCAGAAATAGTTAAAAATGTCGACAACTTCTTTCAACATTTTTATATCAATGATAATATGACGTGAAAATCATAGGTCACGGCGTACATTCATGAAACAGCTGCCACATTTATTCGGCAAATTTTAAAAAACTTATTTTAAAATAAAATATTCTTTTATTTTTCATTTAATTTTTATATTTTTCGGTAATTTCAATGTGACAGCTGAGCCGAACATTGTCTCCGTATGGTTTGACAGTAGGATTACGTAATTACATCTCGTCACTGACAAGCCCTAATCTCTCTCTCTCTATATATATATGTCTCTCCCTCTCTCATTCTTTCGTTCTCTACCAAGTTTCCGAATTTCACTTACATGGTATTATAAAATTTGATCATTTTATGTTGTTAAAATCAGTTTTGTTGAAAACCTTTGTTTGTAAATTCAGAAACAGCTGTTGCGACAGAGATGTGATTCAAACGTCATCGTGACAAGGACTTTTAACCATTTCGAAAACGGTGTCATGATTAAATTGACGTTTCTTTCTTTTTATTGCCTAATTATTTTGTAAATAATATTTAAACTTGTTTGATATTAAACTAAAATTGTTAAATACAATTTTTTTTTATTTTATTTTCTTTGTTTGATTCGTATATAATTAATTTTCGATTCGAAGATGATTTGAAAAAAAAATATTTATCGATTCTCTTCTCCATATTCATTTTGAGGTTATGAATTTGAATAGTATTTTAAAAACTACTATTATCGTTTTTCTTAAAATTTCTCTTCTATCTTCTAAAAAAAAAATATTAAAAAGAAAATAATTTTTATTTAAACATTGAGAAATTTTTTTTTTTTTTTTCATTTACGAAAACAATTTATTTCTCTATTCTACTTGTTTGTTAATATACCTCGGAGTGAGTCATTTTTTTCCCGGAACAAATAATTTTCCTTCCGTTGGTGGTTTACCGATTTACTTATAAAAGAAGAAAATTTATTTTATGACGTAAATTTTTTTTTTTTAAATTAATTCAAGTGAATTCTCATAATTCCCCGCAGGTCACTGCCAACAGAAACGTTATCAAGAATTATGTTTATCTCGCATTTTAAAATATATTACAATTGACACTGGGAATTTGTTTCTGTGGAAAGACCAGATAATGAAATATGTCTTCATTTTGCTTGCGACACTGGCTTTTTCCTCTCT